GGACAGTACACATACGGAGGAGGACAGTGCATACAGGGATAAGGACAGTGCACAGAAAGATCTATGCTAAAATAGAGGCAAAGCTTACAGATATGATTCGGGGAGCCAAGGAATGCCAAGGCTTTCAACAGCCTCCAGAAACTGGGAGAGAGGCCTGGAACACATTGTCCCCCAGAAGCTTCGGAGCCGAGCCAAGCCTGCCGAACTTCAGTTCAGGCTCTTGGCTTCAGGAACTATAAAAGTGTAAATTTCTGTTTTCTGTGCCACCTAGTTTGTGGTAATCTGCTACAGTAGCAACTGAAAATAGACACAACAGACAGAAAAAAAAATCAGGGGGGAAATTTGTTGGTAAGATTGAGGTCTGTGGTGGCAGCGAGGGCCTGAGCTGCTGGCTTGCTGCAGGAGGGGTCGAAGAGGGAAAAGGAAATGAGCATGTACAATCATTTGTCTATGCCTGCGCTGACCCAGCTGTCCCCTACGCCTCAATCCAAGCTGTGGAGGAAGCGTCCAGGGAAGACAGATGACCCAGGTCGTCCTGAGGAGAGGGACAGCCAGTCCTGGGCCATCTGGGGGAGGGAGAACACGTGAGGGTGGCTGGGCCTAGGACCAAGGAGGAGTCTGGCTCTCGTTGGGCCCATATCGTGGCCCAGGTGAAGAGCCTGAGAGATTAGAGACCGGTAGCGGCAGAGCTGTCTGTGTGAGGGACTTGGGGCTGGTAAACAGCTGGAACATGAACGTTGCCTGCAGATGCAGTGCCAGACAGAGAGCCAGGCTGTTCAGATGGATGTCAAGGTCAGGCAGAGTTCAGAGAAGCACAGGCAGGAGGCAAATTCTGCCAGCAGGGAAGTTGGCAATTAGCGGTGAGTGATAAGGCAAGAGTCATATGGAAGTGGCGAGTTCTAAGAATTGTGCCTATTCTTGGCTGGAGCCTGGTGGCTGGGCACACGTGTGCCTTCAGGTTGCAGTGCCCTCAGAGGAGAAAGTGGCAGTGGGGGAGATTGGATCAGAGGAGAGCCATTGACAGTGTCTGTCCCCATCTCTGGTCTCTTAAACACAGAGCAAACCACTTCTGCTTCATCAGCCATTTCATCCTAGTGTAACCACTCATGTTTCCATTTCTTTATTCGTGTGCCCGCTCCCTGCCCTGCTGTCCTGACAAGTGCTGTGTACTGCAGGCTGCCCTTGAACTTGCCGTCCGTCTTTCTCAGCCTCTTGGGATGTGCCAGGATGCCTAACTTGAATTTTGTATATTCTTCGTTGTTATTTTTTGAGAAAGAGTTTTGCTGCATAGCCCTGGCTGTTCTGAAACTTACTATGTAGACTGAGCTGGCCTTGAACTCACAGAGATCGATCTGAGTTTCTGTCGTGTGGCACAATGTTTCCTGGGGAGATGTAACACACATGTCTACTCACCGCAGATGGGGAACCCATGGCAGACCAAAGTACAGAAACCACCGAAGTTCAACTTGATGAACTAAGGAATTTTATTGGCGTTACTTAAAGGGATGTGGGTGAAGGGTTACTTACAGGAGCAGGTGTGACTCAAAGGCAGCTGTGTCACCGAAGCCCGGAATAGATGACAGCTCACAAAACTGGCAATCTGGGCACACTGAACAGCCCGCAGGTAGCTCCCTGGGATGGAGTGTCCTTTCCCGGTGCCTCATTGGTTGAAGCCCTTCCAGGCAGCTCAGCTGATTTCAGATTCTTCCAGGCAGCTAGTCTGGTCTGAGAGTCTTCTTTGCAGCTCTTTCTTCCATCTGACAGGGCTCTCAGCCTGTACTGCTTACTCTGGCAGGAAGGGGCCTAAGGGATCCGGTCAGTTTCGGGGACTTCTTGAAGGTGCCTGTGTTGCTTACCTTTTTCTTTAAAGAACTTCTCTGGAGGACGGAAGGTTTCAATCTTGGAGAAAACTTAAATGTTTGTTCTTACAGGTCTCTGAGTCTGTGCTATTCTATTTCAGCAACACTAAGTGACTAAGATCAATCAAACCAAATGAGACAAAAGACCCATAATAATTGGTGAAATTAGAGGATCCACACGTGGGCTGAAACTGGAGCTACAAGGTCAGCTAGTTGTTTTAATTGGTCAGCAACCTGACACCCTATTAACAACATACTCCCCTCTCAGCTCCAGCCAATTGCTAGAGAGCATAAACCACAGGCCCCAGCATGAGCTCAGCCCCACATGGTGGTTTTTGCCATTAATCTCAGCACTTGTGAGGCAGAGGCAGGCATAACTCTCAGAGTTTGAGGCCAAGTTGATCTACATAGGTAGTTCTCGGTCATCTAGAGTTATGTAATGTGTTCCTGCAAGTAAATGCGAGGAAACAGGAATTCTGGAACAAGAATACTTCAGGGTCGAGTCTCCTGTCTCATGCTCATTGTGAATCTAAAGTAAGAATTATATGCTTCTGGTGGTGAAAGCACTTAGACATAAAAGACTGCACAGGATATGCACCAGTTTGTATGAAAACACCAGAAAGGGCAAGTCTTTAGTGACAGAGAGTAGATTAGAACTGTGTGGGCCCATTAGGCTGACTGACAAGAGGCACAGGGAATCTTTCTGGAGAAATGAATTGTGATGATAGGCGGATAAGTGCAAATTCACTAAAACACCAGTATATTTCACCCTTTAAAGGCACATGTTTTATTATACATGCCTCAATAAAGCTGTTTAAAATAAATTTTAAAAAAACTAGATGCTTATGAATTTGTAGTGTGTCTTACCTACTCACAAATAGAACTGGCTATGTCTGAGGTATCTCCTGGCTAAAACCATGCATCTAATGTAGACAGCTAGATCTTTCGCAGTGCAGTTAAGGATTTGAAATCTATGGCCAGAACATGGGCTTCAGCACAGGATGTTGGCTGGAAAAAGACAACAGGTGTGGAGCCATCCATTGTTCTTGTTCCAAGGCCGCAGCTTTATGATAAATGCGGATGTGTGGGAGCTGGTCTCCCCATGCCTCTGTCAAAATAGCCATGGCGGAAGTGGCAAAGGAGCCTGTCTCTCCCATCTCTCAACCCACAACTGATGCAAAAAAACAAAAACAAAAATAAACAAACAAAACCCTCAAAAAACAAAAAGCAAGTCAAGGTCAACCCAGAAGGAAATCTAATGACCTCAGGATAACCATACCCCAAGTTTTGGATCATGTTCCTTGGATTTTTGTCCTTGTGTTTATGAACACTTCTACCACTTGGTTTCCGTGCTCTTTGTGGGTCAGTGGCCCCAATCTCCATGATGCTGTTAGAAAGAAGGCTCTGCATTCGGTGCCGGATGGAAGCGGATGGAGAAAGCTGAGCTCCTGGAGTCCTAGGGAGGGAGAGACGATAACATGAGCAGAGGGGTCAAGGCCGCAATGGGGAAACCACAGAAACAGCTGACCCACGCTGGTGGGAACTCACCGACTCTGGACTGACAGCTGGGGAACCTGCATAGGACTGAAGTAGGTCCTCTGAATGTGGGTGACAGTTGTGTGGCTTGGGCCATTTGTGGAGACACTGGCTGTGGAACCAGTATTTACCCTTAGTGCATGAACTGATTTTTTGGAGCCCATTCCCTATGGAGGGATACCCTGTTCAGCCTAGATACAGAAAGGAGGGCCTTGGTCCTGCCTCAAGAGATGTGACAGAGGCCTTACCCTCTCTGAGGAGTGGATGGGGAGAAGGTAGGGGAATTGGGAGGAGGGGAGGAAGGGGGAACTGGGAGTGGTATGGAAAATAAAAAGAAAGATTGTTTTTAAAAAATAAACTTAAAAAAGTGAGAAAATTAAAAAAAAGGAAAGTAAACTCCACCCACCTACACCCTCAATTATTATCTGCCTTATTTTAATAAGAGTCCAAGATAAGAGAATTATCAACTTCAGGGGTAAAAATGAAGTAAAAATGAAGACTCTGTTTTCAACCTCTACTGTTTTTCTTATTTGGTGGATGATTAATTAATTATACCACACTGAGTTTTAGGAAAGGTAGAATGGCTTAGTTATAACACTAGACACAAGTTTCTATTCTTTTAGATCGCTGACCACAACCTTGCCAAATCAGCAATAACACTCCTCTCTTTGCTGCTTAAGAGAGGATAGCAAAGGGTTAGATCTGCTTGTCAAGCAATCATGGTGATGTAACCAGCACCCATAAAGTCAAGATGTTCAAAGATCCTGCTGTCAAAGGGATTAAGAATTCCTCTGCCACAGTGAATAATTCGGAAGCTATGAGATCTTTCCATCGAGTCAGCAAGCATTTAGTGAGGAAATACTAAGTTCTGTGCCTCCATGAATGGGGAAAAATGTCTGCCAGTCTTAAGAGCCTCAGAAATTAATTGAAAGTCAAACAGTTATGACATTATGTGGGCACTAGTTGCTACAATGTCCTTCAATGGGGACTTTTTTATTGAATTATCATTATTTTAAATGATAGTAGAGCCATACAAAAGAACTCATTCAATGGCTACAAAATAAGGAAAAAAATTAGAAGGTTTTCTATGTAATAATATGGAAGTGTTTCTTATATTAAAAGGAAATAACAAATTATAGAAGAATGGGCACAGGGGGTAATAATTTGATATTAAGGGGGGCAAAGAGGAATACCTTTATTTTGCAATGTGCAGATGCCCCCTGCTGTACCCCCAAGGTCAGAAAGAAACGAGGAGTGGGTGGCGAGGCAATGTGAGACTCTGGGGCGAGAGGACGGGCATCTCTCTTTGTGCTGCCTTGTGTGCGCTTTGTTTTCTGAACAACTTCCATAAATCACTTCATAAAACAGCCACATAAAACAGACAAATCAGGAAGTTCCATCCTTTGGAGAAGAAGCTGGGATTTAAGGCCTTCCATGTGTTGAGGCTCTCAGCAGGAGTGAATGCAGCCAGCACCAGTACACCTTGCAGTCTTTCCATGGTACCTGAGGCCTCTCCAGGAACCACGGCTTCCTTAGCACTTTCTAAAATTAAGTTTTAGGCCTTTTCTTTTCTTTTTTCTTTTGGGGGTTTTTGTTTTGTTTCGTTTTGTTTTCCAAGACAGGGTTTCTCTGGAGCTTTAGAACCTGTCCTGGAACTAGCTCTTGTAGACCAGGTTGGCCTCGAACTCACAGAGATCTGCCTGCCTCTGCCTCCTGAGTGCTGGAATTAAAGGCATGTGCCACCACCGCCACCCGACAAGTTTTAGGCTTTTTAAAGTTTGTATTAGTTACACAAAATAATGGAGTTCATTCTATTTTCCTAAGTGCATATCATGTACTTTAACCATATTCACAACCCCACCTCCAGCTCCCTTAATTCTTAAAACAACCTATAAACTAGGCATGGTGGCAGGTCTCTCAAATCCCAGCACTTGGAGTTTGAATGGGGAGGGTTGCCACGAATCCCAGGCCAGCCTGTGCTGTACAGTAAGTTCCAGCCTGCCAAGACTACACAGCAAGACTATTTCTTAAAACAACAAGTCAAAGAAATGAACAGCAAACAGTAAAACAACAGACCCATGAAGCTGACTTTGTAATTCCCATTCAATAGCTGAGAAATTGGCCCTTTGAGGATCAACGATCCCGACGTCTCCCACACGGGACACAGAGCTGTAGCGTCCCAGGCTCCCGACTTCTGTCAGCTGAGCATTGTCCTCCGCTGATGGCGAGAGCATCTGCGCGTTCCAGGTTCCCATTGTCCTGTGGAACGTACAGTTCGTCCCCGATTCTCTGTGGTGATAGCAGATGTTTGCGCTGACCCTGCTCAGAACCAAGACTCCTGGTGTCTCCTTCCTGAGGGAACGAAGTGTTAGTTTCCTGAACACAGTAAGACTGTGATAAGATAAATACCCAATTTCCCCAACCAAAACTCCTAGCAAAGAACACCTATGACAATAAGCTGAGTCGTCCAGGTCACACATGGACAGCTAAATAATTTCTACTAATCAGGGAAGGTGTAAAATTTGAGTGATGGATGAGGAAGGATAGGGCAAGGGGCACGGGGCTGGCGAAGTCCAGTGAATACAGGGAATAGCCTTAGTGACTCTCATAGGCCCTCATAGATCTACAGTCACCTTATTTCCTGGCTAATAATAGGGAAGCCCAAAGGTCCATGTGCGAGGAGCCATTTTAGGTATTTCCCATTTCTTAATTTCTTTATTCAATTTTTATATCACACTTACAAAGTAGATATTATTGTAAACCTCTTCTTTACAAATAGGTAACTGGGTCACAGCGAGTCCAAGCAGCCCCTTTAAGGTCACGGAGTTTATACAGGGGAGAGCAGGCTCCTCTGCATAACTCCCCTGTTGAAACTGGACAGACTGGCTCTAGGTCTTGAGCCTGGGCTTTCTGCATCCAGGTACAGAGAACACCTCATCAACCTAGGTTAGGCACTGTACAGGGCAGGTGATTGTGGCACATCAGGAAGGAAGGAGGAAGGGAGGGAGGAGGAGATGGGGTGAGGGCCACCTTCCGTAGTCTCAGAGTTTGGTTCAGCTTCCTACAGAAGCTGTTCCTGCTCACCTGCAGATAAACAGGTCTGAGGCTGACATCTTGAACTCGATCTTGTCACTTCAGCCAGAGTTTCACCAGCTGACACCATTGCTTGTTGCCTTCTCCTGCCTTCTGTATGCCCTCCTGTTCTGATGAATGAAATAAGCCCTGGGTTCTTGGAAGACCACCAATTACTAAGAAGAAGAATCTGCATGCATCGGTTACCATGCTTGGCCATCACAGAGCATGCTAGCACGGGCAGCTTTGTTCCCACTGCAGAGAGGAGAAGGTGGAGTCTTCCCTGGATTAGCTCATTTGCTCCTCAGCTAGGAGGCAGTGACGAGCCTTAGGGCCATTTGACTCCAGAGCCTGATTTATTGTTCCTCTGAATAGCCTCTGAATCCTATAGATAATTTCATGTGGTGGGAGCATTCAAACCCTGACTAAACCATGTTCACTGGGTCAGAGACCTAAGCTCCACAGGAGCCCAGTTCCGTCACTCCCTTATTCCCAGTGGACAGAGCCCGGCTTGGACAAGAACTGCTGAGGTAACCATGTCCTTACGTAAAACCTGACCTAGCCGCGAGCCATTTGAGAGCAATTTAGCACTGTTCTAGGCCAAGAGAATATAATTCCAAAGAAGAACATGACTCCCAGTGGGAAACAGAGTTCTTGCTGGCAGAACTCTAGATCTGCTTCACAGCAGAGCCATAATCACAGATTTCCTTAGGCCGCTGCGTCCAAACAACATATTCCATAAACAAGACAAAGAAGCCTAAGGGAGCGGACTTTGTTATCACCTTTCAATGAACAAGACACATTTTACTGAAAGCCAAGGAAACACTCTGCTATACCCACACAGAAGGGAATCCTTGTTTTTTTTGTTTTTTGGTTTTTGATTTTTTTTTCCTCCCCTGCAATCCACAGCCAGCCCATCCTACACCACTCAACCAACTCCTCTCTTCTCAAGTCTCTTCTTTCACCAGTAGGTAAGCGAACACGGACATCTGACCTTGCTTCTCCTGATCTTCTTTCCTGGGCAGCAGCCAATGGGCACAAATCAAAATTTTATTGAAGTACCTTGCAGTTTCCAAAGGAAACAGAGCAAAAGTCAAGTGGGTGGATAGCCAAGTGCTGACCAGATACTTCGCTGGCTGTGGGCATTGCGGCTGAATTGCAAAAGGTTTCCTGCCAAGGAGGCGTCTGTGTCTTCACAGTTCCCCCTTTCACGCATCTGACATTCTCAATGTCTACCAAAGTTTTATTCTCCTTGCAGAATCCAAAGCAGACAAAAACCCATACTTCCAAACATTAGTAGAGAATGGGGTATAGGCATAACTGCAGATGAATTCAGGTAAAAAAATAAAATAAAATAGGGTGCATGGTTAGGAAGGCTAGGAAGAGGGCAGTTTTCACTAGCACACATTATGGCAAGTTTCACTGAAATTTTGACATTAAATAAGATAGAGGAAGAGGAGAGACACACAACCTGACAGACTACAGCAGAATGTGTAGGCAGAGGGGAGACTGTGTTAAGGCACAGCAGTGGCGGCAGGACTGGGGGAATATAGCCATGGTGGCGGGACTGAAGGAATATAGCCGTTCTGGAAAGAATGGTTATATTCTAGGGAGACGTTTGTATCCTCCCTTGCTTATCAGAGTTTTGAGATAATAGAACCCAAGAAAGTGAAATTTCCCCAGGAATCTCTTGCTGGGAGAAAGTAGAATCTAAACCCTGGTGTCAGCCAGAGGGAGAGTTTTGACTCTTGAGAAGAAATGTCACACAGTTCTAACAACTTGTCAGAGTTCTTTGCAGGAGAGACCGAGGCAACAATGGTGGGCAGGACCACCCTTGGCCAGACTGAGGTGTGCATCCCTCTTGCCTTCTATGCAAACCTATACCTTCTATTATTGGGATCCTGATGGTGGACTGAGAGGGTACAGAGGACCTCTTTGTCCTTCTTCCCAATGGGGCTACACTGGATAAACCTTCGTCTGCTGTTTCCCACTCTCATTTGTCTCTCTAAATTGACTGACTGGCAGTTTAAAAGAAGTGGCCCTCACTGGGAGTGGTACTATTAGGAGGTGTGGCCTTGTTGGAGGAAGTGTGTCACAGTGGGGGTGGGCTTTGATGTCCCTTTTGCTCAAGCTTCCCTCAGTATGACTATCAGTTGACTTCCTGTTGACTGCAAGATGTAGGACTCTCAGCTATGTTTCCAGCACCATATGCCTGCATACCACCATGTTCCCTGTCATGATGAAAATGGACTGAACCTCTGAAACTGTAAGCAAGCCACCCAATTAAGTGTTTCCTTTAGAAGAGTTGTCAAGTCATGGTGTCTCTTCACAGCAATACAAACCCTAACTAAGACATCTACTGGAAATAGGGGGCTGAACCTGGCTTGTTAGATCTGCCATCACCTGGGTTCTGGCTCTAACAATTCTAGTACCAGGATAAAGTGCTAGAGAAATGGCAAGGAGACCAGACAGATGAAGCTGCCCACAATTCCATGTGGTCTCCAAGGTCACAAAGGCCCCCCCTTTCTCCTCTTTTTCCTATTTCTCTTACCTCCCAACCCTTCTTCCTTCTCTCAGCTCATTTAGCTGGTCTCCTTGCTCTGAAGCCCATGTAAAGGAGATAGTTGATTTCATGAAGTTGGCCTCTGATCTACATATGTGTACTGTGGCATATGCATGTATACACAAGCATATATCACACAATAATGCTAATAGTAATATAATGAATAAAATAAAGTTTATAAAGAAACAAACAGTCAATAAGTAGAGAAAATGTTAATTTTATTCTTAGTAATTATCCCATACCTCAGTGTATTTTCTTTTATTCTTACTGAACATAACAGACTGGTAACTTATAAAGAACACAGATTTGTTTAACTGACAATTCTGGAGGCTGGGAAATCTAAGACTATTGTGCTGGTATCACAATGTAGAGGAAGGTATTAGACAATGAGATGGGCCAAGCATAGCAAGACTGGACAACAATGTGGACCTCACTTTTTTGATGATGGTTTCTGAATCATGAGCTTTAAGGAGACAAGCTCAAACCACAATATCTTCCATCCTTTTGTAAAAGGATTATCTCATTTAAAATTTTACGTTACTGTCTATAGACACAGAGGAGTACTGGTTATATACATCTTTGACTGGGCCTCATTTATACAGACCCTCTCTTGACGTCTGACCTCAATGGGAGAATTCCTTCTTCCAGGTTTTTAATATTTATCTTGCTTTATGTACATTGGTGTTTTGTCTGCATGTGTGTCTGCACGATGCTGTCGGATGCCCGGAACTAGAGTTACAGACAGTCATGAACTGCCATGAAGGTGTTGGGAATTGAACCAACACCTTGGGCCTCTGGGAAAGCAGCCAGTGCTTTTAACCACCAAGCCATCTCTCCAGCCCCCATATTCCAGTTTTAACTTTTGGCATCCCCTACATAGAACATAGATTGTCTGGAAGTCATCTCAGTCTTCATGGTATCTCCAGTGTCCCACCCTATGTAGTTTCAAGGAAGTCAGTTCATGGTCTCAGGCAGGGAGCACTGATCTTTGATTCTTGTTTTTACATTAAATTCTCCAAAACTGTAGGCTGCACGGTCTTTATATGCACTGTCTTTGTAGGGTCTTCAGTAGTGTTTCCAGAGATCACTGCTCTTAGCCAGTACCATGAGTGGAGTCTTTGGAATGGTCATCTATTGAACAAACAGATCTGCTAAGCTAATAAACCTGGTTATGGACAAAACACATTTCCTCTCACAGAATTCTCCTTCGTGGCGGTCAGAACTGTTAGGGAGGGAAACAGCTGCGTTCTCAGGGGCCTTTGTGTCCCTACCATTGCTTCAGTTTACAGAAGGGTGACTGCAGTCATGGACTTTCCCATGCCCTCGCTCCCTCCCTACTTCTAGGTTTGCAGGGGGAATGTGAGAATCTTGGAAACCACAGAACCAAGAGTTTGGAGACAGATTGTTTGTTTCCTGTGTTACCATGAATCTGTGCTTCTGCCATCTCTTCAATGTATTCACTGAGGATGCTCGGTCCTTTCTCAATGAAACTGCTTCTTACCTCTGATTCTGTGGTCCTGGATTCTTCTTGTTCATTATTCTACTTAAGCCTCAGCCATTACATTTCCTGTGGAGGACCTAAAGGCAAACTTTATCCCTTAATTTATGAAA